GTCATACTCTTTCAATCGACCAAGTTTTGAGCTATTTTAGACAATAAATATGCCCGTCCATTCTCCCCCCTCGGTGTCTTAATCAGCTTGAAAGAGCTGAATTCTCATTGTACTTCTTCAATTTGTTCACATACTTCTGTATTTTTTTCTTCTTTTATCTCGAAACCTTCTTGAAATTGTCCGACCACCAATTGGGAATCCGAGTGCACTTGGACCTATCGATCTCTTCTTGCTTGAGCTAATTGCAACCCTTTAATCACCGCCTCATATTCTTCTTTAGTGTTCGATACTCGAAACCCCAACTTTGTTGTGAACTCCAAACTATCCACTCTTGGGGAGATCAAAAGAATCCCCAGGCCAGCTCCTCCTCTCGAGATCGATCCATCAACAAATATTTTCTACTTGGCTTTTGACTCGACCTCAACCTTAATTCCTACTTAACAAACCTTCCCAAATCTAAATTGATTTACCTCCTTAAATTAAATCCCAATAAACTAGTATAATAGTACACCATGTACCTCATTCATTCACCACAACACATATAAGATGTAAAAAAATTTATTGATACTCATCTACCTCTTTTCCTTCTTTCATATGTACAAGTTCCAAATTCCAATTTCTATGAATACTAGCGAGTACACAAAACAAGCAATCCATATTCTAACTTCACCCAAAATCACAAAATGAACCAGCAAAAAAATTAAACAGCGGTCACCCAAAAATCGTCGATCTAATGCCATCGGTAAATTGATATAACTTTAGCTCAAAAGTCTTAAATTAATCCTGATGAACCTTATCCCATGTTGTCTCTTGTCGACGAATCCGAGTTGAAACTGCCACTCACCGGACAACATGCGCTCGACTGAGAGTCACAACCATCGATCCATGACCATCATTAGCGGGGAATTAGCCCAAGACCACCGTACAACCCCACCCACCAGCGAATCTGCACTGCTAGTAACGGGTCATGATCGAATCTCTTCCATTCACAATCCAGACGACACGTTCATTTGACCTTCAACGCCCATACCATGAGTCGCCAGTAATCAAAGGCGCAGCTACACAGCTCCCTTGTCGGCGACTCCGTGAGCTTAGTCGCCGCGAGCTAGCTGCCCTAGTCTCCATAAAATCTGCCGGCCATCCACCGCTCATGATTGATGATGTCGTGCGCTCAATTTGGTGTTAGGTTTGGAGGAATAAATCGAGGGATGGCGATTTGAAGGAAGGAGAGAAAAACGTAAAGAAAAGACTGAAGAAGGTCCGTGAGCTTAGTCGCCGCGAGCTAGCTGCCCTAGTCTCCATAAAATCTGTCGGCCATCCACCGCTCATGAT